TGGGAAGGGCTGGGAAGGCAGGCCTGCCGGCTTCGCTTTGTGGGCGTAGGGGAAGCCCTCGAGTGAAAGGCCGGGCTGCGACGGGGCTGTGGGCTGAGAGGCGCCGTGCGGAGAAGTGCCCCGGCTGCTCTGACAGCAGCCTACGTGCCCGCGGGCCGGGGCCTCGGTGCGGCCCTGACGGCAGAGCAAGAAAGGCATCTTCAGCCCTGCGCTGTCGGCGCGGTGCCCTACCTTATACCGCTCCTGGTAAGTGCGGAGCCAGTTAGATTTGCGGAACGATTTTGAACAGCTGTATACGCTGTCCAAACAGTCTCTGTTGCTGCTTTTACCGGCCTGTTTTCAGCGTCCGATTTATTCTGGTCATGTTTGACAAGTTGCATTTTGCCACTCGATGTCTAGATAGTGTAATGTATTTGCCTTGGCTAAATGCAGGCTTACAAATGTGAGGTTTGTCTTTCCTCTCTTAAACCGACACAGTTATTTGGTGCTTCAAATATAGTTATATACGGTAAAGATCAGGTTAACTCTAGGATCGCCAACACTGTCTAAAAGTTGCAACTCTGTACTGCATCATACTGTCTCAAAAAAGCCCTAAGGGCAGGCAAGGAGCGTTGCTTTACCAAATTGCCCTAGTTGTGGTCTCGTGCATGGGATGAAGCTGCTAGTAACGTGGTATTACAGAAGTTGTACCTCATCTAATGGCAGTTAGTAGGACATCAGTGATTACTGATGACAAAAGAGCTGATCAGAAAAGGCAGTGGGAGGGAGAAGAATAAATGTGCCTTTTGTTAAAAAAAACATAAAAAAGAGTTTTCTAGGAAAAGACTGCCCAGCTGGTAGGGGACCTGTAAATTTATCAAGCACTGACACTTACTGAGTGGAAAGCTGTGAGTCTTTTAAAGCTGAGATTTAATGTGCTGATCGTTCCATGGGGTCAAATATCTCTACAGATTAATTTTTGCAGTGTTTATAATAGAATGCAGGATACAAGAATGAAAACTCACATTCCAGAAGAGATCAGATTTGTCTGCAATGTGCATATACATAATAATACTTTTTGTTTGAAAATTTAAGCCTTTTAAAACATTTTAATAGAAATGTGGTCTGTGTTCTAGGAGCTGGGAAAACAACTCTTCTAAATTACATACTGACAAAACAGCATAATAAAAGAATAGCAGTTATTCTGAATGAGTTTGGAGAAGGTATGTAAACCTGCAGAAACACTTTTTTTTTTTTTAACTGTAAAATGACAAATATATATAACATTTCTGGAAGTCAAGAACATTGTTGTTTTAAATCCATTACTGAAATTGCTGACATAGCTCATAGTCTTTAGAAGGGCAAAAAGCCTTTTGGCTGGTGTTGATAAAATAATGAGATGCATTAATCTGTTCTGTACATAAATTCAGTCCCTCAGAATCAAGTAAATCAATGTGTCACCCTGTCGCAAGTGCCTCCATTTATACCTCCATTTCTCCTACTCAGGTTCAAGCAAATGGAAATTAAAATAACATGTTGGTAGATAAGATTTTCTTTTCTTTCCTTTTCATCCACTTATAGATCACAAATTATTCTTGACCAAGAAAATGGGGAGATAGTACTTGGTGTTTGTGGTCCTTTAAGCTCTTTGTTTTCCTTCTCAGTATTTTTAACTGTTATGGCTATAATTTCATATCTGTACCATGGTCAGCATTGCTTACAGTTTGCACTGTGGTGGTGGTGGGTTTTTTTGTTTGTTTGTTTGTTTTCATCACAAAGATGCATGTCACTTTTCTGTTTATAGAGCCTAAAATAAAATTTACAGGCAGAACCTTTATTTGGTATGGAGGTAGAGGCTAACTTTCCTTACTTTTAGTAAAGTTTGTGGTACTTTGCTGTATTTTTTTATCCTCTGGGTTTTGGGTCTTTGTAAAACCCAACTTGACTTTGGCATTTAAATTTAAAAATGGAAAATACTGATTTCTGAAAAACATCAGAAACGTGGTCTCAGGCACAAAAAAATAAAACACAAGAGTGAAAATGTATACCAGCTTGAATCTTTCATATTTGTTTTGCAAGTCTTGTCATGCAAATTTGTAGATTAAAATGATAGTAATACTTGTATTTCTAGGAAGTGCCTTGGAGAAATCCCTGGCAATCAGTCAAGGGGGAGAACTCTATGAAGAGTGGCTGGAGCTCAGAAATGGCTGCCTGTGCTGCTCAGTAAAGTAAGGAAGGACTATTGTACAAGTTCTTACAGTGGGCTTTGGGGGAATTGAGGAGAGGAGAGAAGACATGGAGGATTTGATTCCTAAAACTGATGGTAGTATTGATAGTGACTTCTTTTGTCACATAAAACAAGAATTGGAATTCGGGAGATAGAAATTTATTTCCTTTTGCTGCCTTTCTGGATTTGGACTTAGTGACTTTCAGAAAAATAATGTAAACACCAACTTATACACCATTGGGATATTGTAGGATTAGGAGCTCTCCCTCTTCTCTTAGTATTATATGCTTTTATGTAGACAGTTAAAGATTCAGGGAGGCTGGAACTAGGACTCAGTTTTCCTAATTTCTGCATTAGATACTTACTCTCTGTTTCTTTCTCTGTATGTTGGTTAATACTTGAATATTGTATACCTCAGAAAGGGTGGAGGGAGAGCCTTTTGGTCACTTAATGAAACACAGTATTCCAAATCGTAAGCTGATGGTGACATTAAAAAGCAGGAGTGTATTTGTTTCTTTGACATGTTTTTACCCTATTTGTTTGAACTCTGGATTGTTTGTGCTAAGTCTGAAATAAAGATGATGCTCTGTTTGTCCTGAAAATTTGGAGGAACTGGTCCTGTGCCTTATTAAGGATAGTAAGTGGAAAACAGAGGACACTATTGCATTGTGTTCTGCTGTGATGTAAGGAGCACTGCCATTGCTGCTATGTTTTCTATACATTGGTTTCTTATACAAAATGCCATACACTTCTGCTTCAGACTGACTTCATCAGCTGAGATTTAAGTAAATGACACATCTTAATTTTGCTGTAGGTGATGTGGAAAGGCAGGAGAAAATGGTTCAGCTCCCCCCACCTCCCTCCATACCCCTCCTTTCTTTTTGTAACCTCAGCTGCCAGATCAAATAATTACACAGCCTTACTGTCCTTTACATGGTTTCCAGTGTTTGGAAGATTTGTTAGAAGTAGGCAAACACTATTTTCAGACTAAAATCAAACAGAAAACTACAGTTGCATAATACTAGAGCAGCAGCTTGATGACTGAATTTTTGTTTTAGACTGTAAGTCCTGACTCAGGCCTTTGCTTTGATGGTAATGACTCTGTGTTCTGCACCAGAAGATACATGTTTTAGCTTGTTTTCTCTGTTCTCAGGTTTAATTGTTTCTGCTTACAGGGACAATGGCGTGAAGGCTATTGAAAACCTGATGCAAAGGAGAGGAAAATTTGACTACATATTGTTAGAAACAACTGGTTTGGCAGATCCAGGTAGTTCACGTTATGGTTTCCATAACCGTAATTATTCTATCTTTATGAAATGTTTGTTTGTTCACTGGTCAGTTTACTGTGCAAAATGTATTATAAAGGGGTGAGTTGTCAGGCACATGCTTTGACTGCTGTGTAGACTAAAACTGAATTGAATAAGGTGCAGAAGCGGGGTTGTGGGTGGGGCTGTTTGGGGTGTTGTGTTGTTTTGTTGAACTTGCTCTAAATTTACTCTAAAGCTTAACAGAAATCCAGTTAAAATATATTTCTTTAAAGAGAAGACACTGGGCTTGGAGAAGAGAAGCACACTCTGAAATTACTAGTTTTCAGTAGGCTTTTGCTGTTCTACATTGCTCCTTCTAAATTATAAATTATTAGCATCTATTGTATTGTTACATTGGTTGTGATAGGCCTTATATTTTGTGAAGTCAGAAAATATGCTGCCGAACAGCCTAATACATTCTTCTGGTTAGTACAGAACAATAATAGGTCTTACAAATTCCTTGTGTGCTCTTTAGTGAGATTTATTATAAAAAGCTGTTTAAGCTTGAGCTCATGTTAGTAATAGCTATCTAAAACAATTTTCTCTGAACCATCTCAATTAAAAATGTGTTGTTGATTGAGAGTGAAGGAAATTCTTCTCAGAAATTCAGTTGTTTCCCATTTAGGAGACTGACACTTTCCAGCTCAAAGCTAAATAGTTGTCATGGTAAAGTAATTTTCTTCAAAGGAGGGGACATTGATTTGGCCTCTGTTACACACAAATCTATTTGAGTCAAATTGGAAAACTATTAAGCTTTCTGGAAAAAAATCAATAGATACCAGAAAACCATTAGATGTTGTGGCCCTTTGCTATATCTTGCATGAATAAGCACTGTGAACTACTGACAGGTATTTGGTGTTGATACAGTGATGTATGGAAGACTGCATCTTGTCACTTCAGGTGGACAGTTCTAGGTGTTAGAACGAGTTTAGCTGATGATTTTTTTTTTTTCCTTTTTTCTTCTGATGTGCTTAATAGTCTTAGACAGCCTGCCAGTAGCTAAGGATCTTATAATTGAAAAAAACAAGTACTGTCGTATCTGTTGGCTCCTCCTGTCCTTCATATTGTGGCACTGATATGTGTTAAATTTGTTTGTTTTGTAACAAATTATGATTTTTTTAAAAAAAATAAATATACAGCACATCCTACGGTTGCTAGAATCTGTTTTACAGGGCCATTTTAACAGAAAACAGGAGTAGCATGTTCCTAGGCTATGTTTAGTACACAGGTATCAGGTCACAGATTCCAAGTCCTTGATAAAATGCGGTCCCAGTTGTTGAAATACTTGCTGATTCTTTTCGCTCAAGACTGGTCAGTTTAGTATGTTTCATTTTACATTCCGAAGAAATACAAATGACTATACAAAGAAGAGAGAATGCTACATGTTTCATTATTCCAGAAGCACCTCATCTGGTTAGAAGGCTTAGCTTGTAAAAAAAATACTAGAATCATATAATCATAGAATAATTCGGTTTGGAAGGGATGTTAGGAGTCTTTAGTCCAACCGTCTGCCCAAAGCAGGGTCAGCTATAAAGCAAGGCCAGGTTGATTGAGATATCTAGTCATATATCTCCGTTCTCTGAGGATAAACATGACACAACCTCTCCAGGCAACCAGTTCTGTGCCTACTTTTTCATGGTGAAAAAATATTTTTCTGATATGTGGTCTGAACCTTGCTTACTTCAATGTACTACAGTTATCTCCCATCCTTCTGCCACAGCCTGGTTCAGTCTTCTCAGTGACTCGCCTGTAGGTACCAGGGAGGCTGCTGTTAGGTTCTGCAGGAGCTGTCCCTTCTCCAGGCTGAACGAGTGCAGTTCCCTTGCCTCTCTTCATGTGGCCTGTGCTCCGGCCTCAACCATCTTGGTGATCCCATGCTGATGCCCTTCGTGTATGGGGGATCCCTGTGCTGGAAGCACTAGCCAGATGTGGGCTTGAAAGTGATAAATAGAGGAGAATAACCTCACTCAGCCGTGCTTCTGTTCCAGCAGCCTGGGTGCTTTTGGCCTTCTCTGATCTTGGGGCACACTGCTTGCTTGGCTTGCTGCCTGCCAGGACCCCCAGGGCCTTCTCCATAGACCTGCTCCCTAGCCAATCTGTCCCTAGCCTGTGTCATTACCAGGGACTCTTTGTTCTTAAGTGTATTGCTCAACGTTTTTCCTTGCTGCATTTCATCAAGTTCTCGTTGGCCATTCCTTCCTGCCTGCCTGCCAGGTCCCTCTGAAAGACAGCTCTGCCTTTAGGTGTATCAATAATTCCTTTCTGAATTTGGTGTTCTCTGCAAAGTTGACAAGCTTGTCTTCCATCCGGACAGGTCCCAATGTAGACCAGTACAGTACCCTACTTACTACCGACTTCCAGTATGACCTGTTAACTGCAACCTTTAGAGCTTAACTATCCAACCAGTTTTACCTAGTTGTTTTTCCATTCAGACGGGTAATGTCCCAGCTTGGTTACTAGCATATCTTCAAAGACAGTGTTGAAAAGTTTGCTAGAGGTGATGTAAACAGCATGCAGCACTTTCCCCTTATCCACAAATGCAATAATTTTTTCACAGAAGGCCAGATGTGGCCTTCACAGATTGATCAGGCATGATTTACCCTTGTAAACTTCTTTTCCAGTACACTATCAGTTTGGAAATTGAACCTGCATTAGATCTTTCTTATCTCAGTCTATCTTAAAATTATCTAAAGCCAGAATCTTTCCTGTGCAGACCTGAGATAATTAGGGAAAACATTCTTTTCTGTATCTGGTTACTCTTGACTTTCTTTGTCCTGTTGATTTATGATATAAGAAACTGCACAGGACAGTTTTTATAGAAGCTATAGGACAGGCTTTATAGAAGCCAGTGAAGAAGAAAAGGTTCCAGGAGCTGATTTCTCCCAAATGTCCCAATTCCATTTTTCTTTAACTGTTTGATCTCATTTTGTGTGTGTGTGTGTGTGCCATGACCTAGAAACAATGGCTGAAAGGTGAAGAGGGGGAGTACAGAACATTTTAGAAATGAGGGAGCCTTGGACTATAGTAATGACAGATAGGTGATGCTACTGAGTAAAGGTAATTTAGACAAATTGCATGCATCTGGAATTATGAATTTTTTAAAGCTTTTTGTAGCCATAGCTGTTGATGTGTGCACAAATTACAGCTATGGTAGCTGTTGTTAGATGAAATGTGTAGTTGGGTATTTGACACCTGTGATGCTTACTGAGTTTGTAAGACAGGAGTTTCAAGTGTAGCACTACAAATAGAGTTTTTCTGTGAAATGTCTCAATATTGGTAGTTTACTGGAAAATGTCAATTTGGCAGCTAAATGTACTGCACTTCTTAGGAGCTGTGGCTTCCATGTTCTGGGTTGATTCCGAGCTGGGAAGTGACATCTATCTTGATGGTAAGAAATCCAAGCTTTTTTCCCAATGTATTGGCATTCCGTATCTGGATTTAGTGTAATGTTTTCTTATCATGTAATGCAAAGTGTTTGAAATACATGATCGTGGTTCTTGCAGCCCCAAATTGGACCACAGAGATCCACTTGCTTATCCTAATGCTTGCTTATCTGTTTGGTGAGCTGTTTCAGTTTGCCAAATTGGATTTGGCAAACTGAAGTTGTGTAATGCTCTGCTAAGGGATCAGATCTGGAGAGATCTTGGTTGTGGTGTATGGGGGATAAACCCCTCATTAGTCAGGTATTATAAAACGTTATTTAGGAGTAATATTACAGCTCTCATTATTTTTCTTTTTTCCAATGCAGTGTTTCCTAAATTGTTTCCTCTCTTCTGAATTCTTACCTTGTCAACATCCGGACTTTGGTGCCTTTTGTTTTCTGCCTTCTTTGCCTGTTATACTCTTGTTATCTGCAGTATTTACTGTGTTCCAATAAAAATCTGAGTTTACTGTAATATAAACAATCACGCTGTGTAGTTAAAGAGCATGTTGAATATTGCTTTTTTTTTTTTAATGTAGGAAAAAAAATGTTGTTTTGGCTTAAATCCTGCTAATACTTTGGTCAGTCTTTGAAACACCCATCTAGCCAATGAAACATTCTGATGAATAGGAAATGGCTTCCTAAGTTTCCACCAGAGAATTGTGGATTCCTGGTTACTTAAGAGTAACTGCATACCTCAGTCAGTCCCCTTAATTTGTTTTGATAATCTGTAAAAGCAAACATCTGCTGATTTGCTGTTGCAGAAGGAGGAGAGGCATCTACTTTGTGAGAATTTCTCTCACCTGGTTTGGTAGACGCTTTTTTTTACCACAGATAGGAGTAACAAATAAGAAACTAATGAGGTGACAAGCCTAATGTTCAGATACACTGGAAGCATTGGAAGTATTGTAACCAGTTGTAAATATGATGATATTGTTACTTTCATAGTTATGCAGGAGTTTACAAATTGTTAAATTGTTTGCTGCTTTCAGCCCATTTCTATTACATTTTAACATTCTCTTTTAGGTATTGTATCTGTTGTTGATGCAAAACATGGATTGCAGGTAAATTACTGGATTTGTTGCAGATTTAAACCATGTAACATTAGAGCAGCTATTGTAATAATGTTCGTTTGGCTGAATTACATTTTTACAATAGCTTTAATTCTTACAATGGATGAGGATGTATTTCAGTTTCTTGTGGTACATTAATAATATATTTTGAATGGGAACAAGGAAGTACTGATAGAGGAATTCAGATTCTTACCAACGCAGCATCATGTCTACTAAGAGTTGTGAGGTTGCTAGATACTTGATTCCTTCCAGTTCTATCACTTCATTGAGGAATCTTCGTTGTATTCCAAATATGTATTTGGATTACTATAAAAACAGTGGAGAAATTTGTCATACAAAGTGTCATTGAAAGGAGAGGAGTAAGAACAGACCTCTGATACCAGTGTGGTAACAAGTGAGTTAGGGCTCAAAAGTGGGAAAGGTGCTAATGTAATGGCAACTGTGGCAAGGAGAGATGAGAGCCAGGTGTCTAGTGTACCGTTTCAGATTAAAAGATCACTTCATGAAAGCAGACAAAAAGAGTATGTATTAGAGTAATTTGTATAAAGTGTAATGTAAGAACAGAGCTATAGAACAGTGAGGCTGGGTAACAGCAGAAATTGTGATTAAATTAAATAGTTCAACTTTTTTTGTTATAGTTAGTCATACAGATAATTATTTGCAACATAGTAACTTAGGAAGTGACTGCTTTGGTTAGGTATTGATTTTGCAGGATTTAAAATAAAAGTGACTGTAAGAAAAGATGCCTCCATGGTATAAAAAAACCCCATCATGCTGTGAAAGTATTTTTAATATATCTGTATTTTACAATGGCTGCAAAAAGCTGAGAAGATTGAAAAATAATGGTTAAAAAATAAGGAAGTGATCCTTCCTTTTTAAAATTTTATTTTGTTTGGACTCTTTGAGTTTCTTGTTTCACTTTAGCTCATCAAACAGCTGATTTACCCAAAGGGGACGGTCCTGCCCTCTTATCAGTTTGTGTTGCACCAGGATGGAACTCATGTAACCCCACAGCAAGCCAGAGTTAAGCCATTGTGTTTTGCAAGGACTTTCGCAGAGGAGTTGGGAGAATGAGGGGAAGAGGCTGAGAACTGATTTGCACTTTTAAGCAGGAACTGATTTTTTTATATCAGTTCGACTATCACAAGAAACCACAGCATGTCTTAAGTCATCCTCCATTTCAGCTGAGTGCTCTTATACTAATTTGAATGTGTTTTATTGCTTGCAAAAATGTTGTTCTGTTTATCTTCATGCAATGCTGATTTATTGACTCAAATATAATTGCATTGCACACAGAAGCACTGAATTATTATTGTTTTAAAAATAAAACTTTTAGTATTAAAACTTTCAAGTGATACGTCAAATTCAACCCAAAAATGTTCTGAAACATTGAGCTTTTCTACCCATTATTACCTTTGGCAGCTCACTGAAAACTCTTGTTATTTAAACAGTAAGCCTGTACAACACTGACATCCACTCAGAATAATAGAAACTTCAGACTTTCTCAGTTACATGCCAAGTAAATAACTTTTGCTTTGTATAAAGGACTTGCTAACTTGTGCAATTCCTCTGGTTGCAAAGCTTGACCTCAACAGCTGCTTGTGATTCAAAGACTTTGAAAGCTATACAGGTAATGACATTGAGATAACAGGCAGCAATTTAAGGGTGTCGTGCTTCAAAGAACCAACCCATCACGAGAAAAGCTGACAAATAGTACTGTGTGACCAGTCAGCCAAATTGAAACTGAAGTGGTAATTGATATCATGGGTTATGACTCTAATGGATTTGTCACCCAGCAGTCTGAAATACTCATTTTTTTAATCATGGGCAAACAGTTGGACAGCTCGAAGTGGCAGTTCTTTACTTTCAGGACTTGACATCTGCACTACTGGTATTGCCCTTTTCAGGGCAACAAATTTGACAACAATTAATTCGATAGAATCAATACACAGAGGATTACAAAGAAAAGGTCAGAGGGGAGGTTCCCTCACAGTCATCCTGTTGTTATGCTCTGCTTAGGTTGTGTACAATCAGGAAATTGTTTTCTTCTTTTTTTTAAGGTGACAGACATTCTGCAATAATCTAGTTCTGTTTTTTCAAGTCAAATAATATTAGATGCCTGATAATTCCACTTAAAGAAAAAATAACTTTGTAGGTTTTTTAATTTCTGTATTTGCCATGACAATTAATTCCACTTTCATTTGGTGTTCTTGTGCCTTTAAAACCAAATTTTAAAATAATATTTCTGGTACATTTAAAGCCAATGAAAGAATGCACAGGACTCTCCCATCTTCCCAGAGATGTCAGGCATAATAGACTGACTTTTACTAATATAGCACCGGTTCAAAGTTTTGCTGTCTCCAAGTGTCTGTGATGCTTCTCTCCTGGTTATTGGTGCCTCCATGGCAGAGTGGGCAGATAACAACTTGTGGCTGAACCTTTGCTGCTTCAGAATGAAGTCTGTTGCTCTGCCTAAATTACTGATGAAATTAAGGCTTTATGTTGATAAACTTCACGCTGCTGCTTGAGATACAGGCATTTTTTTTTTTCTTCCCTTTCACTAATTCTTCTGCGAGGACATTAGCTTGGGCAAATAGGTGGAGCACAAAGCTGCCGGTGGTTAAGATACTAAACTCCTGCAGCATGACCAGAGGCTGCTGCTTTTGTCAGTGCCAACTGACTTTTCTGCCCAGTTACAGCTTAAATAGGCCACAAACACTGATGTTGTGCAGACTTGCCAAGGAGTAGTGGCTTATTTGTACAAACCCAGAAAAAGGGTTATGAATTTTTACTACAAAAGTACAGTTTCTCAAATCTTTCAGAGAAAAGGAGTGTGCGGTTATGTATAGGAAATCATGTACTGCAAGCCTAACTCATCTTTAACAGTTAGTCAGCATCACACTCAATAGAAAAGTTACTGTACTTTCATTTTTTCAGATATGTTTTTCCATGGTTACTGTGTGTCATGATGACTTTTTTACTTCATCGTAAATCTTAAAAATAATTAAAAATAAATACTATAATACAGTTTTCCAACTCTTCAGCATTCTAGTCATAAAATTCATTGAGGGAAGAGTTTTTATAAAAGAAACTATAAAATTCTGAAGTGGTGACTGTATAAACATACTTTGTTGCCATCTTTTATGGAAAAATTCTAGATACTGTCTTCTTCAATACCTTGTTGAAAAATATACCTCAGCTGAATTGGCTTTGACTTCCTTTAACTGCAGATGAATATGTCTAATCCCATTGTCGTAATTTTTGTCTAGCACTTGACAGAGGAAAAGCCAGAAGGCCTTGTCAATGAAGCATCTCGGTATGGATATATAAATTAATTTTATATATCACAGTAAGGAACTGCACTGTATAGAAGTTAAATAGGAATGTCTTCTTTTTCTTTTATAAGGCTTTTCTCTCCTCCTCGGCTTTTAAACCAAGGTGGATTGGTGTAGTGAGGTAGAAAACTGACTTCATGCTCCATTTGATCTTTTTGCCAAGATCTGACTCTTCTAATACATATTTTAAGAGGGATGGGATTTTACATAAGTGAGGGAAAACCACCTGTGTTGGGAGGAACAAAGAATTGCATGCTAGAATCTACCAGATGCTTGAAGTAGAACTGGAGATAGAGGAATGTTTTTTGCTAGGTACAGAGCCACAATGATTAAAGATAATTGTAATAATAGAAGTCTTCATAAAGCAAAGAGACTTCAAGTATGACTTTGCAAAGAGTACATGCAAAAGAATTAGGGGCTTGTGAAGTTCATAGATTACAAAGCACTGCGAATTAGATGACCTGTTTTTTGTTTTGTTATTTTTAAAAAACCAACCCAAAACTAGCAAGCCTTTGTAGTTTGGTAGAATCCTCTTATGACACAGAAAAGCACCTTAAGAAGACAGTAGTACTGTAGTCATACCCCATGATGTTCTAGTTTGATTAATGCTTGCCTTTCTGTACTAACAATACTATTTTTTTGGTGCTATGGGAGAGGTGGTGTTTCTCCCCTACAGAAAAAATATTTGTTCATGTTGTCTCTCTTTTTTTTTTTTTTTTTTTTCCCCCTCCCATAATGCATAGGCAGGTTGCATTAGCTGATCTTATAATCATCAATAAAACGGATTTGGTTTCAGGGGAAGAATTGAATAAAGTCAGAACATCGGTCAGGTATGAAACTTTTGCCATAACTAACACTGTACTGGCTCAAGGGTCATTTTTATTTAAACATAGTTACTTCCTTCTTGCTGCTAGTACAGAAATTAGATCTCATGATTTCAGTGATGTAAGTCATTAGCTCAGCAGGGAAAAAGAGACTTCTCCTTTATAAAGGCATTTCAATACTTTTATGTGCTTACACAAGCTTAGCAGTTTGCCTACCTAGGTAAGATTTGATGTTACCTCCTAAGGACAGGCCTTTGTCTTAAGTGTCCACATTCTTATATTTTGGGCAGCTGTTTCCATTTTTCTGAATCAGCATCAGGGGAAAAAATAAATCTGTGAGTAGACATGAGTTCACTAGTGAACACAACATGTATGGAGGAAGTCCCAAATAAAGGTCTTGCATGTAGAAAAACCAATGGTCTGAATCAACTTAATGATCAAAAGCATGTCCCATCATTTTCTATTAGTACCATGATAACCAAAATGAAACATTGGTATTTTGAAGTACTTTACAACTCTATCAGTAGTTTGAGTTCTAAAAGTAAAAATGCTTAGACCCAGCAGAGTGTATCATGAGGAATCTTGCACAGGAAATCACTATTCTTACTGGTAGTATTTAACTGTCAGAACTTGTGAAGTTCCCCAGCTGTTAATTAGGGTATGAAAAAGTCATAAACATGAAGTCTTGTTGGGGTGTCTGTTGCTTTGTTCAACAAGTTGATCACAGAGTTAGGGTTACTGTCGTGACGCTACTTCTCGTGCTGCTTTCCATGGTTAAGGTGTTCAAGCAATGTATTATAGTTGCATTTTCATGTAACTTCTGATTTTTCTGTTTTATTTTAGGTCAATAAATGGACTCGTTAAAATTCTGGAGACACAAAGATCAAGGTATTAAGTGGCCACTATTACTAGGTACCAGATCCTGCTCATTTTGTCACAGGTTTAAGTATGCTATTACATCAGTTTGGTTAAAGGAAGACTGTTGAATTTGAAATATTTAACGCTATGTTTATTTTGCTAATAAGCATTTAGATAAAGGAATTTTTTTTAAAGAAGTAAAAATATGTTTTTCTGTGTTACTCTTCACATCTTACACTAGTGTATAACTAGTTTAAAAAAAATCACTATTGAGATGTAGCTCAGTTTGCAGAGCTTGTCACTAGTGGGTTTTATCGGACTTCGCAGTATAACCATAAGTATTTCTTATTTACATGAGAAGCGGATTTTGCAAAAGCTTGGGCGTTAATTTTTCCAAAAACTTCAATTTTGTTCTAAGTTTAATATGAATATGGCTCTTAATTATTAAAGTTGCATTTTAGTCATTGCCATAGTTGCCATTTATGGAGTGATAGCATTTGGAAGGTTCCTGAAAAATTCTAATGTAGATGTAGTTGTAATTGGCTTCAGCATATTCCAAAAACGTAGCAGATTTTTAAAGGAGCATTATAGGTAGAAATTAAAAGTTTCTCATAATTTGTTAACCAGATTTTGTCACTAAACAGCAGCTTGTAAGGCCAAGTTGTATCTGAGCTAATCATTGATCACTCGCGCTATGGTTTTTTTCTATTGTTTCAGCTTAAAGATTTTTCTCACTTAGGATGGCTGCTGCACATAAGTTGTTACTAGAAAATTACTTTGAAGGCAGTGCAAGAGAGTTTATAAGAAGGAAAAGTAATTGCATTGTTTTTACTGTTTTTCATTGAAATTTTGACTCCTATTTCTTCTTTAATAAGGAATTGAATGGTAATGATATTCCTAAGGACATTAGGAAAGCAGTGTATCTTTCAGACTGCTAGGAATGATTTGTGTGCTGTTACATCAATTATTTGACTATATCATGATAAATACTCCTGTAATACAGGTTCAGGTTTTAAGCAATTGCTGAAGGGAAAATAGTAGACATAATCTTAATAAAATATAGTTGGCTTTTTAAAGTTATTGCCAAATATAGCTGGCAAATGTAGAGAAAAATATTTGCCATTGTTGTCTGATTAGATAGGATCAACAAGTGACTGTAGAGTATGTATTTTATTTGGTAACCCAGGGTTTTGAAGACAAGCACCCAGCGTGCTTCTCTGACTTTAATTTGAAGATCAGCTTGGTTTACATTTACAAAAATGTTAGTCTTGTTTAATTTTTTTAAAATGATGTTTCTGTGCTTACATAATACCGTGTAAATAAAAACTGTTTCTTTGTAGGAGACAAAACAAACCACCAACATCCAAAATTAAGGCTAAAGATTGATGGCATTAGAATGATAGACAGGAAAACAAACATAAGCTTCGGAGAACCACTTAAAAAATAATTCTTTAAGTATACACAATATTTAAATATAGTAAAAATACAAAGCTTGCTTTCTTCCCCCGTTTAGAGTTGATCTCTCTGATGTCTTGGACCTGCATGCTTTTGACAGTTTATCTGGAATAAGGTATGGTGATAATTTCACTCTCTCTTATTAGAAATAATGTCCATTGTATAAATACACGCATGAAATAGACACACTCAAATTGCATCTGAGTTTCTGTTAGAAATTCTAGTGTTCTCACTTATTTAAAATTCTCACTTTGTAAGTGGTATTCTGAGCCTGAGAATTTTATCCACTTGAAATGTGTGCAACAAAAGCTTTTTGACTTTGCAAAGTGAAATGAGCCAGAGCGTGCATGGTTGGTTGGCTTTTTTCCCCCAAAATACAAGTTTTGCTTTAATAGTAGTAGTGGAGCAGATTTGTACACTTCTTCCTGGTTCTTTTAAAACTTAAAGGATTTAAAAATTTTTCTCACTTCACATCATGATGAACTGGGGTACTCCTCAGTTTTCACAGAAAATGATGAGAGACTGAGGTTCCACAACAAAGCAAGCCACTGAAAATTCTGGTTACTGTGTTCCATTTTTTTTTTTTTTTTGGATGACAAATACGAGTTCTGCATGTTAGAGGGCTGGAAAAGTTCAGCGAAGAGAGCAAGGAGTACTGGAGTAATTGTAAAGAAAAGGAAGGAATATGCAGCTGGGGGCAGTGTCAGCTTCATTTTTCTTCCTGGACACATACTGTTCACTTCAGGTAAAGGAATGTAGCCACTTACTTACAGAACGGGGATTTTGCAGAAGATGCAAGCTACTAGCCTCATGTAGATGAGATGTGCTCGTGAGATTTCCTAATGAACTAGTGCAGTACTATCCAGAGAATAGCCTGTTTTTCATGACTGTTGGCTGCCCTTTCTTTTTGCTGACACTGGCTCAGAATAGCCATCCAAAATAAAGTTACAGGGGGAGGAAGGCCAGTATATCCTTCATGGCCAATAGATAACTATTAGGTCATAAACCAGATCATAAACCCATGTCCTGAGTTCTTACAGTGTATCAGATAGCTAACCTAACTCATCCTGGAGCCACACAACAGTGAGAAAGAAGCAAGATGATGTGAACCAGAAAAGGATCATTCTTGACAATGGCAATTCACAGTTAGATCTCATTAGCTGTAATATTGGGTGGCATTCTCAAGGTTTACTAAGAAGTGCTGTGCTCTGCAAATCTGAGAAAGTCCTTAAAGAGCTGACAAAAAAAATCTTTCTTTCTTTCCTTGGTCTGGTCTTGTATCTTCTCAGTGTTTGGTAAAACAGAGGAGACACTCTAAAATTGCAGCATTTGAAGACAAATTCTAAAACCACCAAGAAGGTTGTAGACTGCTTAAATGAAGTTCTATTTCTTTTGATTTTACTTGAGCTCTATACAGCGAAACTGAGCTCAGAGCTTGTTTGGGAGGCATTGTGTGAGAAGCTTCCATGGAGGATAAAGGAGCTAGTGAGTGCTGGGTGTGTTTCAAGAATGCTGTCCTGGAAGCACAAGAACAGTTCACCTCCTTTAAAGGTAAGGGAAGTAGGTGGAGCAAGAGACTGCTTGGCCTAACTGCAAGCTTCTGAATCTGCTCAAAACCAAAAGAGAAGTGTACAAGAGACGGAAAAGCGGACAAATACCTATTAAGAACTGTAAGAGCATTGCCAGGGTGTGCAGAGATGCAGTTAGAAAAGCAAAAGCTCAACTGGAATTGAAATCTGCCAGGGATGTCAAAAACTACAAGAAAGGGTTCTTCGGGTACGTAAACAACAAGCAGAAATGGAAGGAAAATAATGTCCCACTGTTAAACAGGAGAGGTGAATTAGTCGCCGACAACACTGAAAAAGCACAGGTTCTCAACAGTTTCTCCATCTCTGTCTTTACAAGCACTGTTGGGCCTCAGGCCTTGGGAACAAAAATCCAGGTTGATGCAAACACAGACCCACCATCAATGAAGGAAGAGTTGATATGTGAACTATTACAGGAGCTTGACACCTACAAATTGATGGGCCCTGATGTTATCCACCCAAGGGTGTTGAGAGTTTGTTGACATTGTTGCAAGGCCACTTTCCATAATCTTTGAGAAGTCATGGAGATTGGGGAACATCCCATAAGACTCGAAGGCGGCTAATGTCCCGTCATCTACAAGAAGGCTTAAAGGAAGATGCAGAAATTATAGACCCATCAGTCTTCAGTCCCTGGGAAAGTTACGTAATGAATACTCTTTAGGGACAGTGTAAGTCAAATGAAGCATGTGACTGGGAAAAGCCAACACGGATTCACCAAGGGCAAATCATGCTTGACAAAACTGCTCGCGGTCTACAACAAAGTAATTTACTTGTTTGATGTGGGCTGAGCAGTGGACATTGTCTACCTGGATTTCTCCAAGGCTTTAGATGTGGTTTCCCACAGCTTCCTCCTAGAGAAACTGATGACATTATGGTCTAGACAAGTGGTCTTTGAAGTGTCTGGGAAACTGTCCAACAGCTTTTCAGACTTGCAACCTGTCACAAGTGGGGTCCCCAGGGATCGATATTGGGCCCAACGCTGTGTAGTATCTTCATAAGTTATATGGATGATGGAATCAAGTGTACTGTAATGAAAGTTGTTGATGATGCCAAACTTGAGTGGGGAAGTGGACACTTTGGGAGAGCCACCCTGCAGGAAGACCTGGATAGGCTGAAAGAGTGGGCTAACAAGAACTTTAGGAAGTTCAACAGACAAATGTAAGGTCTTGCACCTGGGAAGACATAATGCAGGAGCGCAGCACAGACTGGGATCTACCTGGCTGGGGAGCAGCTCTGTGGAAAGGGACCTGGGGGTCCTGGGGGACAAGAAGCTCAATATGAGTGAACAGTGTGCTGCTGCAGCAAAGCAAGCCAAGAGGATACTGGGCTGCATCAACCAGGGCATCACCGTCAGAGATCAAGAAACCATTATCCCACTTGGTGCTTGTTGGGTCACACCTGGATACTGTGTTGGTTTTGGTCCCTGCTATACAAAAAAGATGTGGACAGGCTGGAGAGGGTCCAGAGAAAGGCTGCAAAGGTGATTGAAGGACTGGGAAGCTTGCCATATGAGGAAAGGCTGAGAGAACTGGGTTTGTTGAACCTTGAGAAAATAAGGCTTAGGGGAGACCTTACCGCCTTTACCAGTATTTAAAGGATGGCTACAAAGATGGAGACTCCCTTTGTACAAGGAGTCACATGAAAAAGAGAGGGGTAATGGGCACAAATTACTTCTGGGGAGATTCTGGTTGGACACAAGAGGAAAATTTTTCACAATGACAACAGTCAACCATTGGAATATTATTCCATCTCCCCATGGAACTGATGGATTCCCTAACACTGGACACTTAAGATTTGGCTGGACAGGGTCCTGGACCATCTTGTCTGGGCCGTGTTTTTGCAAAGACAGGTTGGACCAGATGGTCCTTGAGGTCCTTTCCAACCTGGTATTCTATGGTTCTATGATACAGTATTTCACTTTGTGTTTCAGATTTCATTCTCACAAGCAGCAGCTTTGTACATTTTTTTTCTTCTTGCTTTTCAAATAATCCTTCTTTGAAGTATTCTCAAAAAATCAAGTCTAATAGAGACATACTAGTGATTTTTCCTATTTGCTTTAATGATGCAGTTTGCCTTCTGTTCCTACATAAGGGAATACCAAGGGTATTGTACCTCTTGAAGTACAGATATTTAAAAGCCCAAAGAAACTGCAAATCATTATTATAGTTGTGTTTATATTTTAAAAACCTAATGTTCTAAGACAAATTGTTAACTAGATCAAACCAATATAATTAAACATACCTATTTTGAGATTCAAACTTAATTAACAGCTGAAGCTTATTCTGAGTATATTTGATATCCTTGATATTTTAGTTTTGCTCTGCAATACTGAAAGAATTTATTTAAATTTTGAAATAATTACATTTTGTCCATCGTACTCAAATGCGACATTTAACTTTACTTATTTTCAGTTTGCAGAAAAAGCTTGAGCATGTAAAGACAACACATGCACATCTGGATAAGGTAATTACCAAAACTACTGCTTCAATCTTTTTGTAACAACAAGGTTGCTTAGGGTAATTGCAAGCATTGCATGCTAATAATGTTACCTTTTCAGAAGGTTTCAGTTAGGGGGTAATGTGTTTTAAGATCTTTGGAAGATTACATTGAATACATATAGGATTGTGCTTTGCTGTATATAGATTCTAAATGGATATAGTAAGTCAAAAATAACTTTCAAAAATAACTTGCAGACTTCCAGTGCTCTAGACAGTCACATCATTTGTTGATTCACATGGAGAGTGTTACTGAAACAGACAAATACCACTACTCTTTTTAATATTTGCAGAATCAAGTCATAGATTTGTAGCCAGTCTCTATCCTGTAGGTTTTCTGTCCAAATGTTGTCTGTGTATGTCAATATCAGGGAGATGTTATTCATGAATTTGCATTATTTAAAGCTTTAATAAAACTTCATTAAGTATTTAAGCATGTGTATGTTTCCATTCTATGAGTGCTTCCCATTGTTTTCACAAGAAATAGTAACAATTCACCTTGCAACAGTGAGGTAGATTCTCCCCTATAAATAGGCGTCAATCCTGTAAGCACATGTATGCTAAAAAAAAAGAAACAATTCTGTTGATGTATTTTTAGTATGTCAAATTAAATTCTGAAATGTATTCCCACCCGTGCTCCACCGCCCCACAAAGTGCTCAATCCAGTGTGTGTTTATATCAAGGCAGAATTTTTTCTCTCCCTGTGTGCAATACAATGATACTAGCATAATGCAACTGCAAATAACATTTCTGCCTTTGTAGCTTTTATTTGAGCAAAAGTGTTTTTTTTTTGTGACCAGCATATATAATTTCAAAGATGAATTTAAGGAAAAAGGGTCTGGTCCATCATCCCCACAAAATAGAAACTGTTTTATGTTTATTCCTACTTTTAAGCACCTGTCTTGTCCACAATGTGCAAGTTTTACCAGAAAGGACCCCTTTTAATTTTCTTTTTTTTACCTTTTTTTTTTCTTGAAATTTTGTGTTTTGTTTTCGAAATGTTATGATCACAGTATCTTTTTCTGCTTAAGCCCTTCTCAAAAGGAGAACAGTCTTAAGTCAGGGAATTAATTCATTGCCAGGGAATAAAAACTTAGAATTACTGATTTGAGTACTGAAAAAAAGAAATGCAAAAAAAATTACACAAACACATGAACACTCTTCCTCTCTCCCTCTCTCCTCCAACTTTTCTTGTTTTTTTGGTGGGTTATACTTAGTCCATCCAAGTTCTCCTGGCAAGGCCACGTGTGGCATGGGAAATTGGGGGTGTTTGTGTAATGATTTTATGTTCCTCATTACTGCTCTGTTCCAGGTTCCTTCCCTGTGGTTCATGTGGGGCCCTCAGTACCTGAGGTGTGCCCCTGCTCTGCGGGTAAACAAGCTGCAGTCTCTCAGGGGTGTATGTACCCCCTTTGGCATGGCATGCCTCCTCCAAAGAGTCTTCTCTCCTAAGTGGATGGAGGTGTCTGTCTCTGACAGGATGTCATGTATTTCTCTGCCTGAAGATGTGTGGGATTTTTTTTTACTGTTGTATGGTTTTGGAGTTGGCTGGAACAAGTTGTGAGAGATGTATGGCTTCTGATAGCTTCCTCCCATACTCCCCATCATTGCAGCCCTCTGCTATGTCTTACGCATATTTAAAGAGCTGTATATGGGTTATAGACTCTACCCTTAATATCATCAGAAACTGAATGTACATGTAGTCCATATTCCACTACTTGGCACTGAGAGTTAGACTGTAGGGATTAATGTTGTAGCAGTCTGATTATACATGTTAAAAATTGTTGTATTTAACCTCCATCTCCTGCCAAGCCAATGATGAAGGTTAGTATCATAAGGCTTTGAATTTACATTTCATTGTAGACTCTACCCTTTGGTGTAGATTATATTGCTTACTGTAAAATTCAGGCTTTGTTGCTGCAAGACACTCAGCTGTTGAATATACCCACTATGTCTTGGTATACAAGCAAATATTCAAGCAAACAATTAAACAGTACAACCACAGAGTAGCACCACTGTTGAATATCCAGTTGGTTTGCGAGTCCAACAGCTGTAGTTTCATCCAGAACCCAAATGCATGGTGACCAGTGTTCATTTGATATAGCATGGGCATTTCCCCAGTTGGAGAGTTAAGATGATGCATGACCTAGATTTCCCAGAGCTTGCTTGACATCCTATAACCATATTAACTGAGCTCTGACCTTTTTCCTGAGCTTGTTATTCGTTATCTCCCAGGTGTTGATCTTTGAAGGCCTTCTTTTCCCCTTTCCAAGTCCCAATTTGTATGGTGGGAGTATGGACATCTTTCATCCCCGCTTGACACTTTCACAACTGCACTTCTGTCATGCATTGCCATGAGGCTGATCTTGCACCTGCCTCTAGCACGTTTCCTGCCACTATCATACTGTAGGTCACTCCTTGATCAATAGGATGTCCCACCAGGTTAGCAGGTGATACCAGAGGGACAATAATGGCTACGCCTAGCTGACAGAGCTTTTGGTCTGTGGCCTCAGCCTTTTTGGGGTCCCTCGCCTGTAAACATAGCAGGAGTCAAAGTGATCACGGTCAATTGCCCCTTCTTCCCAGTCCCTTCCACAGGGGTCTTGTTTGGTGGGATCAGAAGGATAGAGCTCAGCATAACCATCCCATCAGTAAATCCCAGATTTTCCTACTTTTTCAAGTGCTCTCTTCCAGCTTCCCAGCACCACCACAGCCACTGCAGAAGTGACTTCTGGGGTGAGCAAGTGCAGGTCTCCTGCACTGCTTTAATTACTCTGAGAAAAAGGTCGCAGAGTGGTTGCACTTTAGGGAGCAGTGCCGCCATTATTGCAGCACTGTAATATGTACTGCCTGATAGGACTCTTAAACTGGCTTACTGTTTCCCTAGTAGATTGCATGGGTTGTCACACAGCTTTCCCTTTGGCCAGTTCAGTGTTACCAGCTGCTAAGTTTTTATTCAGGGTTTGTCATTCTTGCTGAGCACTTGCTAGCGCATCCTTTAGCAGACCATGAGTCTAACAGTGACTGTCAGTCTGATGGTGATGAATTCTAAGTGGTCTTGATCTTTTCTGAGGCTCCATTTGAAGCATATGATAAACTCTGGCATACCCCCACAGCAAAGCAGCACACCTCACAGTGTTTTACAGGTGGTAGTTGTATCCCCTTTGCAGGTCCTGGGCTAACTTTCTTGGATGCTGCCCTAGGACACTGTTAAGGCCCCATGCCATGGGCACATGGGCTTGAAGCTGACAGTAGCCAGTGTCTTCCCAGTCATCTTCGTGTCCCACTAGAGCTTTCACAGGTCCCTACTTTTCCAACAGTTTATACCTTGTCAGCACATGTCCCCACACATGTAGTGGGTGCACCACTCACACTGGAATATACAAGCATGGTTTCCCAGTACCAGAACCAAGGTTACTTCTGGATTCTCCAAGTCATTGCAGTAATGTATTCTGCTCTCATGAGACCCCACCTGGAGTGCTGCACCCAGTTCTGGGGACCCCAGCTCAAGAAAGACATGGACCTGTTGGAGTGGGTCAAGTGGAGGGCCACAGAAATGATCAGAGGATGGAACACCTCTCCTCTGAAGAAAGGCTGAGAGAGTTGGGGTTTTTGAGCCTGGAGAAGAGAAGGAGGCTCCGGCGAGACCTTATTGCATCCTTTCAATACTTAGAAGAAAAAGACTTCTTTACCTGGGCCTGTATTTTTGTGTAGTAGCTTTCTGCATCTTTTTGCTTCTTAGTGGCTTTGTCACTGCTCTGTTCCTTAGTGTCCATGCTCCATGGGTCACCCACAGGACCCAGCCAGGTATATACAGGTACACTGCTCTGTGGTTGAGTTGTGGGTCACAGTCACAGAATCACAGAATCATTAAGGTTGGAAAGGACCTTCAAGATCATCAAGTCCAACCATTAAAAACTGCAGTCCTCTCAGGGTATGCCCAGTTGGGAGCAGTTCACCCAAAAGCAACAGTTCCCTCAGGGACCGCAAAAAAAGAAAAACTTGTGTTTTTATACAGTAGCTTGGAAAAGTGTGCTTGCATTCAAGAAAGTTGCTATGATTAAATTTAATTTTCAGGTTAAAATATGATGCATGCAATGCCTGTATTTTTTTTTTTTCAACTGCAAATCTTGACTGTGAAGTTCCTAGCCTTGAAACCAGCAAAGGCAATTATAATCTCTTTTTGTAACTAAAGATTAAATATAAAATCAGTTTCATGCTTAGCTATATTTGCGATCAGAATTTTAAGTTCATAGTTTTTTGTTTAATTAAAATTTGTGTTCATCTTAAGTATCATTGGTTATAGCACTAAAAGTCTGAATAGATCCCTAAAGTAGAAAAAAAGTTAAGTAGAAGCCTTTCTGAAAGTTGTGAGATTTATAGCATGGTTGTATTATTAAGGACATTATTGCTGTTTTGGTAGTATGGAGCCATTTGACCATAAGGGAACAGTGAGAATTCATTGTTACTATCCCTGTTAGGTCAACACCCACAGTTTTAAGATGGTTGTTGAGACAGATAAGGCATAAATGAGAGCAGAACACTTCTCTCACAGTAGGCTGCAAGTCCTTGTTGGATAATAAAGATACTATCGTCCTGTGGAAGGTTAACAGAAGCAATATTGCACTGTGCCTGGAGCACAGTGAACTTTGTCTGTCTTGTTTTGAAGCTGCTCAAAATGTTAGCTTTTGGTTGTTTTGGTGAGTTTGCTTGGTCATTAGATAGATTTGCTGCTTGTTGCTTGTATTTTTTTTTTGTTAATTTGGATGAGTCACCTGAAAGTACTAACCATCTGAAAGAATTCTCGGTTGCACTGAAGGTAATCCTCTGTATGTTCTTCTATGCCATTGAGAGGTTGTAGTGACAAAAATAAGTTCAACATGTTATTTCCTTTATTTTTTAATAAATTGTTGATTTTAAACTATGCATTTATTTTCATCTTATGTTTTGATAATAATTGTTTCTAAGCAGTAAAGCCAGTGTTTGCTTTGGAATAAAACATCACTTCAGACATCTTTATTTTTGGACTCTATTCCTACATAGTCTATTTACAAAAAAGTTTTTCTTAATAGGAAAGTATAGGTAGATGAAAAATATGTTCATTAATTTTTGTCTAATAGAACTGTGATGAAAAAATTGTGACAAAGATCAATATGCCAAGAAAATAGCATTCTTAAACATATTTGAAAGATTGAGCTTACTAGCCTATAAGAATTAAAATTGTTAGGCTTTCTTTGGGAACAGACATCAGCTACAGCAAAGAATTACATGGTACAAGCTGATGGCATTAACCTATTCAATGTATTGTGTGTGCCCCTGAGGTGCACATCCAAAAAGAACCAAAAAGTATAGCATAATATAGCGAATGAGAGCAGAACAGAAAAGGAGAATTTTTTTTAAAATTTGACATGAGTATATAGTTGCTTTTTTATAAAGAGGCCAAGTTATAAAGAATACTTTTGAAATTAATGTAATGAAATATTTATTCAGTTTGGTAATAATAAGTGGGTCTCTCCATTTGCAGGGTATAATTACAGTAACATTTGAAGTTCCAGGAAATATAAAAGAAGAAAACTTAAATCTCTTTATTCAGGTAAGTAATACATCACTGTCAACTGAAAAATCATTGTGACTTTTTATAGAAAATACCCCATGCCATTCTGTTTATGAAAACATTTTTCCTTTTCATAGAATCTTCTGTGGGAGAAGAACGTGAAAGATAAGACTGGGCACACCATGGACGTTGTAAGACTGAAGGTTAGTCAGAAATTACCAACTTCTTTGTTTTGTGCTTTTTCTCTTTTACACCTAAAAAACTGCAGTGTGCTGTCAGTTACAGATCTGTCAAGGGCGCCACTGGGTCACTGTAGCAGAGGAGACACAATGGAGAATAGCAATTTGTCATTGTTCTGTGTAGAGACAGTTTGTTATCTGCTGGCTGATGGAACAACTCAGAAGGAGATAGCTGACAGAAAAGCAAACATTGAGCCTATTTATTTTGAATTGAGAGGAAAGATGTACATTCCCAAACATCAGTGGCAGAGTTAAAAAACAGGACATAGTTAAATCACTTTCTCACTTTTCACCTTCATTGCTTTGAAAGGTTCCATCCATCCCACATAAATGTCTCCTTACCTAAGGATTGAGTACTATAGATTGGATACTATAGGTTGCTAGCCGTAATTATAATTCTTCTTCATAATATGCCGAAGTTGAATTTGGCATAACATAGTAGCACGATACTAGTTGTGGTCTACACTTAAAACTTTTTACGGTATTGTCAGACTGTAGTTTTAAAGATGCTGCCCATAAGTGTTCATCTTCACGGGCACCTCATGTTTTTCAGTTGCATGGTGTTGAGAGGAGTATAGGTGACAATTTAGGATACATTTTCATTTTCCTTATACCAAGCAGCCAAGTAAATAATTAAAAAATGACAATCAAGTCTGTCATTTGGTAGGCTGTAAGAAATACAAGAAAATACACTCTGGTTTGTTTTCTGAGAACGCTTGTGTGTAATGGATAGCAACATAATCCGTTTTCATTTCATTGGAAGAAAGGTTGTATTCTTGCTCTTTCATCAGCAAAAGGAGAATATCCTTGTTTTCCCCTTCGTGAAAAATAGAAGAAAATAGCCAGTGATACATCTTAAGCTGTCTGAAAACAGTACCGCTATGCACAAGTACATTTTCCTTGTATTAAGCATTGGAATCAAAGTGATTCCTTAGGAGTTCTGAGGCCTGTGACAAGCTGTGTGCTGGCCCTCAGTCACAGACAAATACACCAAAGCAAATAAACCCTAGATAATTACAGAATGAGTTCCAAAATTTGTTGCTTTTATGTTTATATCTTACCTGCAGTCATAATCCTTTTGGCAGTGAGAGTCATAGAATTCCAACTAATATGTCAAATGCAGACCTTTTTTCATTAAACATGTTTAACTTTTTGAAATTTTTTATTTAGGGAAGTGTAAGACATGTTTTATAGAATGTGTTCCACTAAAATATTTTATAAAGTTTTACATGAAGTGATAAAAACTATGTTAATACAACTTTTGGTATGTGGGTTAATGGGCTCACTCTGGCAGAAATCCCTTCTAATTCTGTTGCTAGTCATTGAACTTCACAGATGTTTTTTCTCTAGTACTCAAAGATTCTGTTTCAGAATAGTGAATATGCTGAGCATGAGAGCTTAATCAGAATAATCTGAAATCAAACATTTTGGCTCATTTTACATCACTTTTGCTAGCAGTCAGTCTTTCAGAGACATATAGATCATATACCATATATGATACGCAAAGTGGCATCAAATCTGCTAGATACTGACCAAAATGAGGAACAGAAGGCAGAGTATGCAGAGTATAATTATTAGTCCTTAACAAAATAAGGAGATGTGAAAATGGATGTTAGGAGCAGAATTGATCATACTACATGGTTATTTTGATTAACTGTTGTACAGTTGTCAGAAATATTTTTCCCTGCTTGGCCTGGTTTCAAAGTTTTTTTCCCACTCTTCCATATTTCACTTTTAAAGGTTTGTTTATATATCCTAACAGTTATTTTTCTGATAAGGGACTGGTATCTATTCAAGGCAAATCTCATCAGGTGATAGTCCAAGGTGTCCATGAGCTCTATGATCTGGAAGAGACTCCAGTAGCCTGGAAAGAAGACGAAAAGAGAACAAATAGACTGGTCCTAATAGGTAAGAGGAAATGACATACCTCCTTGTTTGACTTTAAGAGGTTGTTCTTTTAGCTGGCAGTCGTGTGACTTGTCCAGTGAAAAGCAATCAGTGAAAAGCAATAGCAGTGAGTATGTTCAGCATAACCTTCAGTTAAGGTTTATCCATCAAGACCCCCAGCAGTTTTTTATTCCAGCTGAATCTACACTTTTAGTAAAATAAAACAATACAATACAATAGAGTACAATACAATACAAAGTATTAATAAATTATGTTGGCATATTTAATGTTATTTTAAAAATCCATAATTATAAGTATGGTGATGGGAATGGTTTGAATGTTCAGTATATATTTTATATATATCTCTCTCGGAATGTTCAGTAATTGTAAGGAAGATGATTATAACCATTAAAACGTATAAAACCTGTTTTGTTTCTGAAAAGTTTGTAATGCTGAGGTTGTACATTTGTATTTCCTACTTGCTGCTCTCTGCTTTGCAAAGTGGTTTTATGACCAAAAAACCGGTTTTTCCTCCTTTCCATTACTTGTACAGCTTGAAGTCTATTGTTGCCTGTAGAATCCAAAGTTACCTTGTTACCTGCAGCTTAATTTTAATACTGCTCTGCTTTCACTCATTGGTATAATAAATATTTTCTTTGCTGAGAAGACTTGCAGGTTGCTACTTGCATGCATTTTTTGTAATACATTATAAAATTTTAATTTATTTTTACAGGCAGGAACTTGGATAAAGAGACAATCAAAGAAGTATTCCTAGCCACTGTGAGAGAGAAACAAGGAAACAGTTGACATCAAACTACAAAAAAGATGAAATGCCTGTGCATAACCCTGCAAACTTTTTATGACAGAAAAGACTGAATGACATGCAGTATAGTAGCTTCCATTTCCTCTTGCAGTTTAAATAACAGGTAAACCTTGAAGTCGTCCTGAGAATCCCAGCTGACCTACTGTTCAAAGATTTGCTCTTGTGGTCTAGAATCAAACACAAAGAATTCTATCTGGTTTTGGCTTAAGTTATGTCAATAACCATTTACTTGTGCAGAAAAGCAGATAGGTGAAAGGCTGTTGTTTATGCTGTACATGAGGTATTAATTACAGCAGGAATATGGTAAACATGCTTGAAGCCTAGTGCTTTCTCCAGCTAACTCCTTTTTGCTATTGGAAATGAAACAACAGTCATTATTGCCAGTGATGTAATCACAGTTAAAAGTATTTAGTGTTTACTATTAAACTGTCTTCCATCTCGTTCCACTTGTGTTGTGATTTTTTAAATGTATACATCCATCCCAGGTACTGTTAAACCTGCTGTATCAATGAAATTAAACATACACAGATAAGCAGAGGCTCAAGGCCACATGGAAGATACACTGTCTGCATAATGGCTATGAATGCAGCATTCAGTGACATAGCCAAAGTGTTGAAAGATGTAGCTGACCTCATAGATCTTCTAGGCCATGACTCTGCCAGTTCAGGATTTGGGGGACTGGTGGCAGCACATTTTCACTGTGTTCTCTAGGCTGCTGTGTGTGCTTTGTTAAGGGGTTCTCTGACACTGCATTTGGGTGATGTTTTGAAAACTTAGTTTGAAGCTCTTATCGCTGTCCTCATTGCTTTTACAACTTAGAGTTGAACTTCTTGCCCTGTACCATCTCCAGTAGTCATTGTTCACCACCTAGCTTTAGAGGGTATGTTGACTACAGCTGGGTGAATGTGAAATGAGTGAATGCAAGACCAGATGGAATTAAAAATGGTTCAAAACATAATTCTAGGACATGCAGCAGATATTCTGAAGAATAGACTCTTAGCTGCAGTGCTACATGGGTGCTTGCTGATGTGTCTGCATAAGTAGAAATTTGTTTTCAGTACTGATGGTGTGTTACTTGTCATATACCTAACATTTGCTTTAGAGTAAAAGAGGCATCCAAGTTAAAAAAAGAAAAAACAGGCTGCCATTCCTGTTTCAGCAATCATAAAAAATTTCTTTTTGCTTCTACTAAAATAAATGAGTTTGGAGTTTGTTTCCAAAAAGCTGAGGAAGGGGACATTATTAGTCTTTCACTGCCAGGTGGTGGTGTCTCATTTGATTAATATATGAAGTCATGTGTCCAATAAGATAGAGCTCTTCGGTCTCCCAGCAGATACATTAGCAGGCATGACTTCATTCCTCACATCATAAATAGTTTTAGATAGCTTGAAGAAGCTTCCAGAAATTCACTATTTATGTAAACTAAAGCAAGGTAAAAACAAAGAACAGTCTACTGACAGCATTGCTTTCTCTTTAGCAGAGCACTGGTGGCATTTCAGTGACATGGGTATGCTGTTGAGCGACATCGTGAGTTTCCCATAGCAATCTCTTCATTTTGAAAACTAATACATATTCTCACACTGACACATGCTTTGGGTTGCATCAGTGACACTTAGTCCTGCATGAAAATTAATCAAATGATTGCCATCAGTGTTACGGATTGAATTATAAACATCATGTGAATGCAAAATAGTGGATAATGCATTTGTATTGTTGCTGCTTATACTTCCATTCATCACAGAAAAAGCGATCGAATACCTTCTGTCTTATAAGTGCGTCATGTAATTGAAGAACTCTGTTATCTTTAGAAACATTAATCTCTGAAGTGCCCAACTGATGATTCATTTTCCATTTGGAAAAAAAATTCAGATATTTAATAAGAAGAGCTTCAACCCTCAGTCACCGGGAACAAGCCATGGACGGCTTACACACTGTCATATTTTAGATGCTTACCTTTTATATTTTCTCACCAACTACATACTCAGTGTAGTCGATATACTGGGATTTTTGTTGCTGTAATGGGGCATCTCTGCAGCTGGGAATCTTCTGTATAGCTCATCTTTCTATTACTCCTTCCTCTGTAGGACTTCCCTGGCAGTGCTCACTGTGGTGGTGTCGGAGAAGCTTTAGTCAGCATGCACGGCTTTGTTGCTCCTTGCCTCCTGTGACCTGCCTGCATGTTTCCCGAGAGCCCATGGGATGGAGAGTGAGCAGCTCCCAGGCAGGGTGAAAGTCTGCACCTCCCTATCCTTGCCGTCTGTCTGGATGTCCACGTGCCCACACTGCCTTGTCCTCCACTACTCTCTTCACACTGGTAACGCAGCTGAGGGCTGGCTCTTTATCCTCTTCTCCCAAGAAGACTTCTGTTTTCTTTTCTTGGATATTTATTTAACTGACTTTTCCTGGTCTGTTCTGATACATCCAGCCTGGGGTGCTGAGTCTTCTTTTCATGTGATTTTCTTCCCGAGCAGAGGCAGAGGAGTTTCTTTCCTAGAGGCAAATTGCAATGATTTGATTACGCCTGCGCCCTCATGAACATCCAATGTCTACAGAAATTGCCTTTCCAAAACAGCATTTTCTCCACTGTATTATACTTTCCACATGGTTTTGTAGGCTCTGTTAAACTGTAAAATAAACAACAGAAATGATCTTGCACTAACTGTCGTGCATTTGTTGATATCACCTGTCATGTTTATCTTCAGGAATTGCCCAGGGAGCTGGGTGAGGTTTATTTTTTCTGTTTTATTATGCCATTTAGAATTTAAGCAGTTCTGAATTTGCTAGATTTTCGCCAAATCCTCAGTTTCTAAGCCTCGAGTATAACGACCCCACTCCCCAACCCTCCCACTGCACCAGAGCAGGTCATCGTCCATATCCCGTCCCCGGTGGACAGGGTGTGGCCCGAGGGGACAGGATGGGTCGGGCTGGGGTCCCAACTGCCCACTGTCCTCATGAGCCACCCTGCTCCTCTGCTGTCCCACAGAGCTCACAGCGGTGGCAGCTGCGCCTCCACCGGGCCACTTGCCCTGCTGCCAGGAACGCTGGCCCGGGTGGCATCCATTGCTCCTTCTTCCTCCCTCTCAGATCCACTTGAGCATCACTTTTGTATGTTTGCTACCACGCTTTGCTCTTCCTTCACTGCTCTGCAGCTCCACATTGCACCTCAGTTTACTATATACATTTACAAATCCTAGATACGTGCATTTGTTCTTTTTTTTTCACCCTTAAACCCAGTTTTATCCAAATCCAGGTCTGCATTGTTTTAACTGACCATGGTGAATTGTTTGTAGCAGCGGGGTCCCCATGCTAAGCCTGTGCCCCATCTCTTACCACACTATGCCCATGCTCCTCTACCCCACATCCTTGCCTCCATTTCTCAAGGCCGCCAATACTGTGTCAGGCATGCATGTTTCTCTATACTTCATCATTACATTACAGCCATAAATACCTCATTCTACACAGAAAGGCAGCTTGTTCCTGCTAGCTATAAAAAACTATGGTTGTAAAACATACAAGGATAAAAAAGTAAAACTAATGAGCAACAGGCACCCAGTCAGTTAGAGAAACTGCTGTCGCAGGTAAACCAAGTAACACAAGGCTATGGCAGGCCGAGAGAAGGTCGGCCAGAGCGGGAGTGGCAGCCCTGAGGCTCTGCACACCCAGCACGAAGCTGACGGCCTGCTACCGGCAGCGGCAGTGCCGTACTGCAGGGCGGCACGGGTACGTTCTCCTCCCAGTGCCCTACGTACGGTCCTCCCGTTCTTCCAGCCACCGGCACGCGCGCAAGCGGAGCAAAGTCCAAGTCCGGGCAGGGCCGGCAGCTTCACAGAGGCAGCCCGCCCCAGGCATCAGGGCTCCCGGGCAGCTTGGGCTCGGGCCTGCACCCACAACAACCATGGAAATTTTGGGAAAAGAGCTGCGCTGCAACAGCTCAAGCATCAAACAATCTAGGACGTGTACTGCTTTTTAAGAGATGAGTAAAAACACTTGCCACTTACATTAACTTAGTGTAGTTTCATCGCGTTGCTTCCAGTCTTTGAGCATAATGGAGGGTCCCAGTGGTCTTACTGTCCTCACTCCAGTAGTGAGTTTGCTCTACTAGTTTCACATTGCTCTCTTGACAGGATTTCAATCTGTTGCATCTGTTTTTCATCATTTCAATCTGTTCATCAACAAGCACAGTTAGTTTGTTAATTGGTTTATTACTTTCTCTGTTCTCTTCTTGTTTGAAACTTCTTTTTAACAGGAATGAGCAGCTAATAATGATTTTATACTCTTAAAATTACTAAGATATTGGTATTTTTATAATTTCATTTTCAGTTACATGCAACAGGAAAGGCTGTAGCTCTCTCTGTTTTGTCCAGCATGGAAGTTTGTTTTAATTCACAATAGGTTGCTCAGAATCACAGCATTGTTTCCTTACGGAGAAAGTTTTTTCAAAAAAACCCAGCACCACAATTAGCTGCTAACAGTGTGTAACGGTGTAATGCCATTACCACGTCATAACAGGGTGAAGGGCCCCACTGTTGTACAGCTGAACCCTGCAAGCGGCAGCAGGGCAGGGCCGAGCAGCTTGCGGGTGGAAGGGCTGGCCTCCCGCACCAGCGCATCTCACAGTGGATCCTTCCTTCCCTTTTTCTTCCAGTGGCTCCTTCTTCCCCCTTTTCTCCCAGCATATTTTCTTAGGATGCATGGACACAGTCGCTGTGGGGAAAAACAAAAAGCTGTCATGGTGTGAATAGTTACCGCTCCTCTCCGGAGATGTCTGTCTTCCCTGCAGAGGGGCTCCAGCCAGTGCTGCCTACACCAGTTCAGTGCCAGGTCAAACCAGTTAGGTCAGGTCATCCTGAACATCAGACTGGTCCGACACTGAACTGGAGAAGATCATGTTTGCATGGACTGATAACAGCATTAACCTCAGCTCATGAACAGTAATACAAGGCTGGAAAAGACAGTCTTTTCAACCGTGCTAGCTGAAAGGGGT